GTACATCGACTATTCGTGGTTACAAGGCAAGCTCTCTTTTTCGCTGCGGTAAAACGTTCAGCTCGCTTCCTGGTAGGTTCATGACCACTTCTACGATGCTGTTGTAGTTGGCGCTGGCGGTGCCGGCCTTAGAGCCGCCTCCGGTCTTGTTGCTCACGGCCTCAAAACTGCCTGCATCTCCAAAGTGAGTTTATGCAACTCTCACACCTCCATTGGATTCATGCACGCTCGTCAGGTCTTCCCAACTCGCTCCCACACTGTGGCTGCCCAAGGCGGTATCAATGCTGCCCTCGGCAACATGACCGAGGACGACTGGCGCTGGCATGCCTACGACACTGTGAAGGGCTCCGACTGGCTCGGGGACCAAGATGCTATCGAACACATGTGCCGCCTCGCCCCTCAAGTCGTCCTCGAGCTCGAGAGCTATGGCCTGCCCTTCTCTAGAACCAAGGAGGGTAAAATCTACCAGAGAGCGTTTGGTGGGCAGAGTCTCAAGTTCGGCAAAGGTGGGCAGGCCTATAGGTGTGCTGCTGCTGCTGATCGTACTGGCCACGCTATCCTGCACACTCTATACGGTATGTCTCTTAAGTACGATTGCCTCTTTTTCATTGAGTATTTTGCTCTGGACCTCATTATGGATCAAGACGGCTCCTGTAAGGGGGTTATCGCAATGAGCATGGAGGACGGGTCGATCCATCGCTTCGGTGCCCACCAGACTGTTATTGCTACCGGCGGTTACGGCAGGGCCTACCAGAGCTGTACTAGTGCTCACACTTGTACTGGCGACGGAGGCGGCATGGTCTCTCGAGCCGGTCTACCACTTCAAGACCTCGAGTTCGTACAGTTCCATCCTACTGGTATATTCCCAGCTGGCTGTCTTATGACTGAGGGTTGCCGTGGAGAGGGTGGAATCCTGAGAAACAGTGAAGGTGAGCCGTTCATGGCTAGGTATGCTCCTACTGCTAAGGACCTGGCCTCACGGGATGTGGTATCTAGGGCCATGACACTTGAGATACGCGAGGGGCGAGGGGTTGGCCCCAACAAGGACCACATTTATCTGCATTTGGACCACCTACCTGCCGAGACTCTCAGAGAGAGGCTGCCTGGTATCTCAGAGACTGCTAAGATCTTTGCTGGAGTTGATGTGACTAAGGAGCCTATTCCGGTCCTGCCTACAGTGCACTATAATATGGGAGGAGTCCCTACCAATTGGAAGGCCCAGTGCCTTAATCCCACCGAGTCTGACCCCAACAAGATCGTCCCTGGTCTGCTGGCTGCTGGTGAGGCTGGCTCTGCCTCCGTCCATGGTGCTAATAGGTTGGGGGCCAACTCTCTGCTGGACTTGGTCGTATTCGGTCGTACTGCTGCCGATACTGTGGCCGAAATCGTGAAGCCTAACTCACCGCCCGTCACTCTGCCTAAGGACGCCGGTGAGGCTACCATTGACAGGTTCGATAAGATACGTCACGCCAAAGGCCCGGTGTCAACTGCTGATCTCCGAAGCAAGCTTCAGAGGACCATGCAGACGCGTGCTCCTGTATACAGAAATGGAGATGACCTGAAAAAGGGGTGTGAGGAGGTACGTGAAATTATGAAGGAATACAAGGACGTCGGCATCAAGGACCGCACCTTAGTCTGGAATACAGATCTTATCGAGACCCTCGAGCTGGAGAACCTTATCACACAAGCAGCCCAAACGATTGTATCGGGTGAGGCCAGGAAGGAATCCCGTGGAGCACATGCCCGAGAGGACTTCACTGAGAGGGATGACAAGAAGTGGATGAAGCATTCCCTGTCATATCAGACTAAGCCTCATGTTGAGGAGTCGGTATCGTATTGAAGTATAGCCAGTGGTGGATCAGCCTCTAGACAGCGAGATGCATCATGTAC